CGGTTGAGCACGCCGTCACGGAAAGGGGTTAAAAACCGTTTGTATAGCACCTCGCTGTACCACTGAGTGACCAAGTTGTTATATGACTCATGGACAATAATGATGATGAGGAGGAGTTGACATATGATTATGATGTGTTATGATGATAAATTCTTAATATTATGATGATGATGACGACGATAATAATGATGAGTTATTATATCATTCAATGAAAGAACCGCGGACTAGATTTAAATGGATGGATCTAATCCAACTTGGTCACTTTGGATCCATCCACTTGAATCTAATCTGCGGTTCTTTCATCCAATGATGTAATAACTCATTATAACCATAATGATATAACATCTCTAAATTGCTACTGTATGAAAACTTGTATAATGGTGTATAAATACGATATAAAATAAAGTAAGTATAATATGTACAAATAGTAGCAACGCGTGGTTAAGCAGCGCTACTAGTAACTAGCAGTAGCGCATTATATGGAACGCGCTACTGATAATTGAGTTAGCAGTAGCATGTGCCCAAACGACGCTACTGCTAAATGTTAGATGTAGCGTCATAGCAGTAGTGTCGTGGCTCGCGCTACTGCTAGGTCATTTTATCCGCGCTACTACTAGTGTTTTCCCTAGTAGTGCCCACCCTAACAAGAACCGCCTAGATTACGAGTGCATTTGTGCTCGAGCATGAAAACTCCATGTCCTTTTTAAACCTTTGTACTGCTGACTTTCCTCCTTGAGTAATGAAATCCCCCTATTTGCCCACAAAAAAATGTACAGACCAATCCAGGGTCGCCACCCCTATGTGAAGTCTCGATTTACCATTCTTGTGCCCATCTTGTTTTATCTTGAGTCGCCACCCATTTTGAAACTATTCTGATGATAAGTTAAGACATAATTTTATTTTTGAGAAACTCAATACAGATGTGGACGGTCACAAACATTTTTTTTCTAAAATTTCCAATCTATTCATCAATCGTAGCAGTACAGAGAACAATAGAGGTAATAAAAATTTCAACCAGGTCCATGGACCATCCAGCGACGACTACAAAAATTGGAACGAGCCAAAGGCAGGCCGCCCCTCCCTCAACCGAGCCGGGCAAACCTTGTTGTAATAGACAAATGAGAAGTCATCGTGCTAAGGCAACAAAGGACCAGCTCGCCAGAGAAGCAACCGCCGCCGATGAAGAGAGTTGTAAATCAAAAAGATCAAACCTGTAACCGCATGAACATGTACATACGCACACTCTACGACCGCACGCACACGCTATTTCTATGAGAACTTATATAAGAGAGATGACACCAACGGGTCTGAAGTCTAAACACACAGACATGTACATACACTCACCCCTATGAATGTACACCATACCCCTATGAGTGAATATGAAAATTCTATTTTCGCTAGTATTCTATGGGGAAATGGCAATTTTGTTCTTTCTTTTCTCTTTTCTGTGAGAAACTTCTATCTTTCCATTGCTAGCCGATGTACCATCTTCTGAGCACAAAGGTGAGCCGACAATTCGACTTGTACGCGGCAGCGAAGGTGAGGCCATGACTAGCAAACTAGCCATGGCGAATTGACAATTCGACTTGTGGGCGGCGGCAAAGGCGAAGCTATGACAGCAAACATGCTCTTGGAATGGCTTAAATAGCATATTCCGAGTAAGAACCTAAACAGACAATTCAATTTGTGGGTGACAACGAAGTTGAACCATGACTAACAAACACGCCCTTGGGATGGCTCAGATAGCATTACAAGCACATATGCCCTTGGGATGGCCCAGATAACGTGTTCCGAGCACAAGGGCGGCCAGGTATATAAAGACGTAATTTGAAGAGAGGGCCACATAAAGACACATCATATCTGAGGCCAGATAAAGACCAAAAGCTCATGAACTTAATTGGTGCTTGATAGCTCAACTCATTAAGCTTGTAGCTCGCTTCTTAATAAACGAACCCAATCACTCATCTTAGGTCGATAAACTTAATGGGTTTAACAAACAAGCTAACGACTTTCACGAACGGCTCGTTAATTAAGCTGTTAGTACACAGGACACATATTCTTATCTTACATGACAATATTTTCGTGGTAACTCAACCCATAAGTGAAATCAAATCGACCGATCCCTACCATAGGAGCCAACAAACTCGCGCACCTCCTTATGTAATCACCATGCATCTTCCTGTGGCAAAATTACGCCCACACTCTCATCTTGTAGGCTACAACACATCATAGTTTGTTAACGAGCACTCACAATCTTAACAGGCTTTAAATGAACAGAGCCAAACAAAGTTTTTTGCTTATTAAACTTAACAAGCTAAATGAGCCGAGCCTTAACGAGAAGGAGCTTAACGAGCCGAGCAGGCGTACCAGACTGGAAGAACTTGCTGAAAATGAACGGCATGTCACAACCATGCGCAAAACTTACAAACGTAGTTCCATAGTTACTAGCTTGTTTTGTTGTTCGATAGATAGGGATTAGTCGTGCATTTTTGTTACCGCGGAACATACAAGAATTCCAGGAACAGAAGTAAATAAATACTGGTTACACTCGTGCACTGCACTGCACTGCACGAAAAACAGACGAAAAAGAACAATGCAGGACGAAGATGGACACATTTCATATAGTCTACAGAGGAATGCTCTTGATCATCTTTAATCTGAATCTCAGTAATCTTTATCGAGTTGGTGTGCTGTGGATTTCTTTCCGTCTGAACTCTGAAGAACTCAGTCTATCTGCAGAAGAAAGATCAGTTTGGGCACAATGAGAACGATTACATGAATTTCACCTGCGAAACAAGCTATGATGCTGCTTGGCATCTAGCAGTAGGACAAGACTGTCCAAAGGTCGCACGGCTCCATGACTATTCTATAGGAACGATTTAAGCAGTCATGCAAAGATATCTCAGAAAATAAGCATCGATGTAGTTTGGATTAAAACTGAGACTTAAGCCGACACTTACATCGGTACATCGGTTCGTTCACGAACTTTCCGAAGCGTTCCTCATAAGTTCATACAGAGCAAAGCCCCCTAGGTGGCAACCAGGCAACCGCTGGCTCATTTCTCGTAATTCTTTCTGTGATTCAGAAACAGTACCAATTAGATGAACAATGGTTACGAGAATACAAAAGCGAGGAGAGGAGTGCTGCTAGTATAGGTGAGCTCACCAATGATACTGCATAGAGCTTGGTGGATTCATAACCATCTTGAGCTCTAGCATAAAGCTCAGTTACGGCGCTGGAATCAATGTTACATCTCATGTAAAAGAATGCTGCTGGTCTAACATTCGTTTCTCGCTGAGAAACTCCAATGAGAATGGGTTCTGTCTGCACAAATAAATGTGGATAGTTAACAGATCAAAATACAAGAAAATCCTGCAGTTGCAGAAATCTTCTTTGCATGGTAATTACAAAAAAATCATCTGATGTGGTCCTGATTTATATAAACCAGTGAACCTGCCACCAGTGATGCAGTAATTAGGAAAGCAAGGCAAAGAGTGTTGGTGATTTAATTACCAGTGAACTAGCAGGAACTCCAGTTTCCTCAACTACTTCACGGATGATTCCATCAAACATTTCATTTGAAATTCTTTCAATGAGACCACTGACATCTTTTTCTTCATTTTGATGAGCCAAGATTCCAACTTCTTGTGGCTGATACAAACAATTGAACTTGGATAATGAGAAACATCAAGACAACAGATCGACCACTCGAACCACAACTGCTTCTAAATAAATTATAACTGCTTCAAGAATTTCAATTGTTGTCTTAGGTCAACATTTTCCATGTTCCAAATTATAAAGTATGCATTACTAGGAAATTTATTCGTCATCTGAAAGAAAAATGAGTGACTATACCAAGTGCATTTTGTGTTTCAGTAATGGGTGGCCCCAATTCTCATTGGATGAAACTATTATATTTAGAAAGTTATGACAAACAAAAAAACAAGCACTGTCCACATGAATGCTGATCTCTAGCAAAGAAAGACGAGTTAAACTAAACAGTCCAGCCTAGCAAAGTTACATGTCCTAGAGCTTTGTCTCTACTTGGGATCTCTTTAGACAAAAACCTTACATGTCATCAACTGTGCTCAATATTGTAACATTCTTAATCTTAAGATATTACCTCAGAATGTCCTCCAGGAAAAACATAGTGTCCAGGAGACTCGCCGACATTGTTGCTCCTTTGCAATACAATAATTTTTTCATCAGATGTTTCAACGATTGCACCATTTCCCAGTGGATTTGACATGTGTTGGCAATACACAGAGTCATCTAATCAGATCAGATTGAAAGATGAACTATTTTGGTCAAGACTCGTTGTTGTTATGATTCTGAACAAAGAATTTGCACCGTGCAATTAAGGAGACAAAATACTGACACAAGTTGTCTAACAATTAATAATTCAGTGATCATCACTATCTCTTCATAGTGATTAATGATACAGCAGCATATGCGAGCATGGAAAGGAAAATAAAGGTGGGGCAAAATTTGTTATGTACAAGCTTAAGCAATGAAAGAAATATAAATTCATGAGATAATGTAAACTCAAACTTTCGAAAGTTAAAGATGCAAAGAGGCCTTGATCTACAAGAGGAAAATGAAGGCATCTAAGGTTCTAACTTCTAGATAACCTTTACCTTGAGAGGGGACCAAAAATTTCTCCCACAGTGGACTGAGATTTGTTCCAACAAATGTCCTGTTGTTTGTAAGTTAATAATATTGATGTTAGACAGAGGTGCTGCATTGAAAACATCGCATAGAAGGAACTACAGGTGTAGCTATACAGATAGATAAGAAAGATCAAGCAAACCTATAATCTGTGAGTCCCAAATGAAGTGAGACACAGTACACCTGATTTGATTCATCACTGCGGTGCAAGGCATGCCCTCCATACTGAAATTCGTCAGGGTGACCAAGAGTATAAATACTAGCACTCAGAAATGCAGTCAAGGGGGATAAAGGAAGGACCGATAAAAACAGCAAAGTAGAAGTCCTAATGGCTTGTTTTAACTATAAACGGAACACTAAAAAGAAAATATATTGCAATCGCACAAGTTCAGATGTAAAAGGAACACTAAGCAAGTTCACAAATAGAACTTATGGCAGTCAACGGCGGGAGATCAACTCGTAAATTACTTAGCATGGAAGAAACATTATTCGCCTTAAGCATAAATAAATTGTTTCTTGTCAGTACCAATTTGGCATAGAGCATACTTCTAAATCTACATTGCTTAAAATGGAAGAAACATTATTGGCGTCAAGTATAAATTGTTCATCGATAATCAAGTGTGTGTTAATTTATCTCTGCCAAAATCAAGTGTATACATACACGTATAGATCACTAGAGCTGCAGATAAATGGCTTGCCAGAATACATACGTACATACATAGGGAGGTTATGCATACCCGAAATTTCGTACCGTTGTACAGCGATGGGTTCTGCTGGAGCCTTTGATTCCAGATCTGCAAGACGAACAAAGATGATGAACAATGGCCCCTTGTTAACAGGAAGCGAGCACACACGGTACGATTAGAGCTAGCTAGACGGACCACCTCGCCTATAGAATCCTCCAGGGATGCGTCCGGGTGGTGGATCCGGTCAAAGGACGGACCAAACCTCACCGAAACCTTCATTTGGCAGCAACACTGCGTT